GCTAAATTCGTGTACAATAACAGTGTCTACTTATCTACTAAGGTCTCCCCTTATTTTGCTATAATAGGCTAGAACGCTACCTTACTACAAGATCTATTCACCTCGCTCGAGGCCGAGCGTAAGGAAAGGGAAGCGCGTCAAGTACCCGAAACACTAGCGGCTATTAAGAGGGTTTAGAAGATGCGAGAATCCTATACTAAGATAGCCGAGAAGTTAACAAAGGCTTAAGAGTACTAAAAGACCTACTATAACAAACACTACCTTCTAATAACCTTCAAGCAAGGCGATATAGTTATGCTTAGTATAAAGAACCTCCGTATCCGTAAACACCTATTACCCGATAGCAAAACAAGGCCCAAGCTCGCACTAAGATACATTGGCCTATTCCGCATTCGAGAATCGAAGGGCATATAGGCCTACTAGTTATAGCTTCTACCCTATTATACTATCTATAACACCTTCTATGTATCCCTCCTTAAGCTATACTATTAACGCGAAGGCGATAAAGCGCCTGCTAAGTTAGAAGAAGTCTTAGCTAATAGTGAAGAACTATAGTCTATAGAACGTATCCTATAGTACCGGACTAGGAAAGGCAAGAAGGAATACCTCCTAAGGTAGCAAGGCTATTTACTAGAATAGGACTTATAGGAAGCTAAAGATTCCTTTAAGGACATAACCGAGTTGTTAGATGAGTATTAGACTAGCGTAAAGAACAAGAAGAAGGCTAAAAGCTTATAATGTCACTATTAAGGCCTAGGATTAATGCTACCCCGGGGGTACTATTAGCTAACTAATTAGGGACAAGCAATTGTTAGCAACAAAGGACAATAAGACTATACCCGGCGCGCTACGACGCGTTAATCAATTAATCGCATGCTCTTTTAAGGGCTCTACCTCTTTACTAACGCGCCCTGCAGGTCCCCCTCTTGTTCCCTTATTCTAACGAGGCCTCGAGGCCTAAGCGATCGGCGAAGGCGCGCGCGTAGCGGATAGTGCCGGCGGTGTGTTAGAAGAAACGGCATACGCCTATATTAGTAACGGTGTTGCGGAGTGTATTGCTGTTTAAGAAAGGAAGGATACGGCTATGTTAGTAACGGTATTGCCGAGTTATTATTAGTTAAAGAAGGAAATTGGAAGTAAGGTAAAGTTAGCGCTAAGACGACTAGTACCGCTATTATTAATATTACTTGCTATTGCCGCTACGCCTACAGACACAACCTTACCTATACTACGCGCTAGAGCGCACTCTACTAGATAAGTCAAAAGAATAGCTATATTAAAGGTTTGATCAAAACTTTAATTAAAACTTTAAGCCGCTTAAAAGATTGAGCGACTAATAGACTAACTAACTAAGGGCAAAACTATAGAGCTAAGCTAGCCGGGGTCGATCTTGCGGACAATAGGTTACTCCTCGATCTATCTAACCCTTTAAGCGAGGCGAACCTCTACTACTACACTTATAATAGCCTTCACCTATAGAAACTAGACGAGCTGTGTTTTTTGAAAAGATATAATTAGTTAATACTTAAAGGCTGCTAAACCTAACCAATTAGGGCTAGCGAAACTACAAACAATAATAGTCCTCGTAATAATAAGAACAATCCCTCGGAAACGGACAAACCCTTAGAAGCGGACATTTCTAGGTCTTTTAAGAGTAGACGCAAAGAACTCGGTACGATATCACTTAGAGCGGAGGCAGGGCTGCAATACCTCGTACGTCTACCTATTATAGTAGGGAAGACGCGCTCGTATTGTAATTAGTCGAAGGCCCTTAATTCTTATAGATACATATCACTTTATAGTTCATTATATATAGAAATAGCGCAGTTGGAGTTGTATATTGTGTTATTAGAGGTGAGGTTTGACATAGTTACATAATTAGGTAGTTAAGTGTTCAATTTAGCGCGGGCTAAGCAGCTTATTAGACTTGCTAAGTTAGCGGCAATAGAGGTCGTAGAACATAGACAGGCTACGAGGGCGCGGCCTTTAGAAGGGAAGCGTGTATTAGAGCCAAAGAGGCTACACGTGATTAGCATATAATCAGGCCGAGTAAGGCCAGGGTCTTAGTGCCTTAGGCAGGGCTTAGCGCTTAGCGTTAGGCTAACTCTCCTGCTTCCCTCCCTCTCCTCCTAGATCCTTATCGAATACTACTCGTACCTACTACTACCCTATCTACCTGCTAACATACCCTTCTTACAATTGCCGCCGATATAAGGTCCGCCATTTAATAGCTAAGATAGGTATTTATAGTAGTAAAAAGTTAGAGATTGTTGCTAGGGCGACTACATTTCTTAGAATGTAGCGGGGTTGTCTATACTATAACTTTGTATAAAGGTGTTATTAGTTTTTGCGTAAAGATCCTATTATATGCTACGAAGCTACTATTACGTTCATTTTCGGTCCTCGGATATATTGTCGTCCTAAAAACAAGCTACATTTCCTCTAAATAAGCGTATATATAAAGCTAAGCTCTATACTTAGCAAAAACTATAAAATTTAACTTTATTACGAGTTTCCTTAATAACTACACTACCGATTTTCTTCGTTGTTTTTTTATATAAAGCATCTGCTAATCAACTACTAACTAATTAGAACGAGATAAAAAAATAGTAGTATTGTTATAGGGATAATAGCGATATAGCAATAAGACTCGGATTTTAACGCTAAGCTCGGATATATCCGCTTTTGAACTTATAGAAACTCTAGCTATTAGTAGAGCACTCGGAGAGAAGCAATAGTAGTAACAACGCGTTTAGTATCTGCCTAAAGTTCCAAATTACATTAAGAAGCAGCGAAATAAGGTAGGAAATCGCGCTAAGCCTATACCGTACCGAACTATGCCCCGATTTCGAACTATGTCTACTCCTCTACTGAACCTCTACTACCTAATTATCTTCGTACGGCTTTATCGCTGCAATTCTAATCTTATAGTCCTACTATATCGCCGTCGCTATCTTGTCCCTATAAACCGATATCTTGCTTCTTATCGCTATCTATTCTCGATCCGCCTCGGCGACCTCTTCCTCGATAATATTATCTATATCGAAGCCCTAGTTATAGTCTTCTAGCTACTAGTTAAACGTCTCGGTTTCGACTGTCTGTCTATAGCGGTTTATAAAGTTATAAAGAGCGGCGAGTCTATATACAAAGCGCGACTATTAGAGCGTAGTATAGCCCTTGTTTAGACTAATTCTAAGTAGAGGCTATCGCTCCTTAATAATACTAAATATCCGCTCGATATAGTTGCGAAGCTACGAATAGCGTAGGTTAAATAGCTCTTCCTTCGTCTCCGGCTTTATATTAGAAGCCTTCTATTCTCGAAGATAGTATCTTGTCTTCTAGTATAGTACTAATATATAATCTAGGTTCTTCGAGTATCTACCGTCCGCTAAATAGAACCTCCCCTTCGGTATATATATACCCTTCCTTATCGCTGCGGCTAATATAGTGCTATCCGCCGTAGAGCCCTCCTATCTAGGCAATACATACGTAAAGTTGGACTAGAAGTTATAATAGGCTAATATATTCTAAGTAACGGTGCCCTTGCGGTTACAATAGGCGCCTAGATTCTTTATCTTCTTCGTCTTAAAGGGGACGTGCGAGCTATTAAGTGCGCCTATACAACCCGACAAATATAGCTAGAACTTCGGGTTCTCGTATACTTCTAAGGTAGTAGTTGCCTCTCGAGCCAGCTATATTACGGTATCGCTATATAGCTTATATAGCAGGCGGCTTATCTTTAAGATAGTACGTCTATAGCTTAATAGTAAGTGCTAATAGATAGTCCGTAAGCGGTTGTTAGTTATACGGTAAGCCGCTATATTAAGGAATATAACTACCTATTCCGCTAGACTAATTCTACGCCCTCTAGTAAGTCTATAATCTTCTACTAAGGTATTAATTAACGCTCGAAGAATAGGCTATCGGAGCCTCGTCGTCGTATAGTAGTATTCTTCTAGTCTATATAGTATTATCTTCGTCTACTATCTACCTAATTCTAGCGCTATAAGAGTCGTTATTATACTACCTAGTCGATACTTCGGCGCCTTCGCTTTACTATTAAGAAGAATACAGAGCGCTTGCAGCACTACAAATATAGCCGCAATAATAGCTATATTCTCGATTAAGTCGTCGTCTATAGCCGAATATAGTATCTACTATACTACTACTACTATATAGTAAGAGCAAGAATACGAGAACAGGGGCAAGAGATAGTTAAATTAGGGGCTCTACTACTAGAAACAAGGCAATAAGGCATATAATCGTCTTATAAAAGCTAACTAGTATAGCTATATACTAGCTTTCGTAAGATAAGTATATAAAAGACGACTTATAAATAAGTTAAGCTGTCTTATAATAAACCGCTGACTTATTAGTATTTAACGCGTCTTATAAAGTGGGTCCTATCTTATGGATAAGACGGTTGTCTTATACAATAAGACGAGCGAAGTATTCAGGGCCTAACAACGAGGGGTCAGTTTAAAAGCTGCTGCGAAGGAGGGTACATACGGTGGATATGGCATCGCATTTCTGGCATGTCTGCCTACCGACCTTCTCATTATCAGATTCAAATAACCGCAACGTTGATGTGACGTGTTGCTGACACGAGAAGTGACGACGAGACGAGAGGCTGAGGCGGTTTATACTGGATGAGGAAGAGATCTATCTGGATACGCCGAGCCCGTGACAGGCAAATCCCTGCCGAAGATCTGCCAGAATTGGAGCTTGGATGTCATGCAATAAGTTATTTTCTCGGAAGCCAAGAAGGAGTGAGACTGTGAGAGAATGGTGAAGGCAACGTTAATATGAAAAATTACAATACGATTACTCGCTGCGTTGTGCTCATTATTGTATTCATTTCGTTTTGATCGTGATCATGGTAATGCTTTTCATGTTTTTCCTAACCCGCCATGCAGAGTACCGTTCATTTTTTCCAGGTCCATGCTATGCAAAGAATCAAGCTCGTTCTGGAGGTGGTGGTGGTGGTGAAAGGTAAAATTTTAAGCGTTGAACTCGATGGTGCGCTTCGATGCGGTCAGGCCACATTGGTCGGAGCCGACACGCTCAATAGTGGCTTCCACGCGGCCAAGTTGTTCGGCCTTGCCGCCGGTTAGGGTGTTCATGGCGGCCTTTGAAATGTTGATGCCGGCTCCGGCATGATCAATTCCGACGATGCGGATGCTCGTGCCCATGTAGGTGACCTTGAAGCATTGGCCGCAAGAGGCAGAGTTCCAGCCGGCAATATCCACTGCTCCGCCGATGTTTGGGAAGCCTGGGAGGAGTCAGCAAGGTGAGAGGAAGGCAGGGTAATGGGGTTTTCTGACCTGGAACGGCGCCTTGTGTCTGCCATCCGTGCTTGGTGATGAGGCCATTCGCACCATCGCTGCAGGCGACGGAGGTCATAGATCGGGATGCATCATCGTAGTCTATTGAGAATCAGCATTGCAGCAAACATCATAGCAGAGACAGGTGATGTTTCTTACGTGCGTCCCATGATACCGTCTCAGCGCTGGCAGCAGCTGCAAGCGTGAAGAGAGCTCCGAGGGCTGTGGTGAACTGCATGATGAAAATGTCTGATTTGTGGTTGATCGGGTGTATGGCTGAGAGGTGATGAATGCGTGCTCTGTGAGAATTACTGCAGTATGGATGGGGATTGAAGAAGTTGTGGGAGACAGAGAGCTCAGCTCTTATAGTACCTACGAAGCAAGGCAGTATCGAGGTGCTGTCGTTGCCAATACATTCCATCCTTGCCTAGTGTGCGGAGCTGCTTCCCAGCAAATACGAACTCTCACCTCACAGCCTCGGAGCCTCCCCTCATTAGCCAGTCACGGCCAGGCATAGAATTCCTAGCTCTTTATTTTAATGTGCTTCTGACCAAGCAGGGCTCGCGAAGGCGTAAGACCTGTAACGAAGTCGTGTAAAATCTCTTTCACATGTCCATCAGTGGCTGCTGCCTCGTGAGACGTTCGGAACGTGCAGTGAGACATCAGAGGCAGTCACGATGTCGCGAATACGGGTGGAAAGATCGACCCTGCAGTTGGGTGTTGCGATGTGGAGGAGCTCGGAAGACGAAGAGTGGTAGCAGATGGAACGGTGTTGCTATTTTCGGACCAGCTCGGAAACCAGCGGTTCTCGGTTGTGGCGCCGTCTTCTTGGCAATTTCTCTTCGAAGTCTTGCGACCCGTACAACGTCGGCAGGCTCTCTTGCTCTTCCGGAGTCCATTCGACTGAAGTCATATGTCCTGTGATGCTGTCCCGCTCTTCATTAGTACACAGTCTTCAGTGGAGGCTGCCCATATGATCGCCCGAGGTAGCAGATCTGAGATCGTGAAGGAGATGTGCCGACAGCAAGCTCGCGAGCAGTATCTGACCGCAAACGCAGTATGCAAGCCTGTACTATTTCTCAAGATTGGACTACTTATCAATTTGTTTCTTCATCCTTGGCGAAGCTTTCTTAATCTGCATGTGCTTGTCTAGCTGTACTGGACTGGACAGTTGGGCATGCCAGGGTGAAGACGTGAAGTGAGGCCATCTTACATTGTTTGATACGCTGTCTCGCTCGCGTCCATACCCATTTGCCGCTTGCATTCCTGCAGAGTCCCCTCTATTCACCTGGACGAAGTCGGACTTTCATTTCTTCTCAAACTTCGCCACTTCAGTGCCCATTCCCCGAATATCTTTGGCAACTTTGACAATCTGACCCACAACCTTGACCACCTCCGTCTTGATCTGATCCGTATCCATTTCGTTCATCTCCGCATAGGTCGGCACGGAGAGCTGTTGCTTGATGCTCCTCTCAGTTCTCAAAGCCTTCTTAGGATACTTCGCAGCGATGTTCCTGGCGAGCTGGTTGCTCTCGCCTTGCTTGGCGTAGAGAATCTCGATAGCGTAGCTCAGGGCCTGGATGGCGACGTCATCCTTGATGCTTTCAGTCATCGTGTCGTTGGCAATGCCGCGCTGTATGAACTGGTCGATTGCGAGCTTCGCTTCCTCCCGTTTGACTGAGTCGGCCAGTGCCTTCTTGGCGAATGGGGATTTGGGTCCTTCTGACATTTTGTCGAGTATGTGCGGTTGAGATTGTTGTTGCGACAGGTAGCTTTTGAGGGTCGAAACGGACTGCTGGTATAACAGTACCCGTTGCAGGAGAATGAAAGTTGTTTGTGGTGCTTGCAGGATGGCTATCGTTTGACAGGTCCAGCCGCTTCTCCTGCATGGAGGCTCGGCCAATCTAGTTGCTTCCAAGCATAGAAGCAGGAGATGGAGCGAGTTTGCGAAAGTAAAGGACAAGGAGAGGGCTGTGACGATGGTTGAGCTTCTTCACGCGCTTTCCTCTTCACTCACACGGGCCAAACGGCTCTCTGCCTCTGCCTCTACCTGGATGAAAGAAGTGAAAGGCCCTTGAAGCGTATCGTGGTGCTGCTCGACAGCGGCGCAAGCTTATCCTGTGTTCAGACTGCGCATCTCAAAAATATTTCGATCATCGGTGGGAATGCTGCTCTTTCCTGAAGCTGCGCGCCAACTGCAGTTCTGAAACGCCAAGGCCCAAACGCTTTCCGCTGAGCTTTCCACACCTTTTCTCGCCTCGCCTCGCCTTCTACTCCTACTCTCCCCTACATAACGACTTCGAAAGGAGCCGAGCCATACTCCATCCAAGACGTATATCCATCAACTTCCGCTCGCAGCAATGGCTATCGCACCACATATCCGTAAGCGTCAGGAAGCTGAGGCCGCCGCCGCCGCCGCTGCTGTTGCTGGTGCCACCGGCCCCAACGATGCCTGCTTAGCAGGACCAGCACCTCAGTCAGTCCTCTCTGTGTCCTGCCTGCGCATATCAAGCTAACGCTCTCGCCCTTTAGAGCCCTCCGAAGCCGCGATGAGCGCAAGTTAGACACTCCAACTCCGGCTGTCAGCGTTTTGCAAAATACCGCCCATGTCAGCTCCAATTCCGTCGTCGGCGCTGCTTCCGTTGGCCACTCCAACCCATGGGAAGCCACGCGGTAGGTCCACACCGTTTGTCTCCAGCAACCTATTACTGACATCTCTTAGTGCCCAGATCATGGTCATAGTCACTAACACGCGGCAATGTCCAATCGAGCAATTTTGACGGAACGGAGCGTGTTCAGTGTACGCTTGTTTGTCACTCTGGGAGCGTCCTGCGTTGTAGCCAGCGAATGAAACTATGCTCTCCTGAGTTGCTTCCTCGTCTTCCCATTCAATCTCATCAGTTGTGGCACCACATGGACGAGCAAGTTATAGTGTTTACCTCCTGCCTCATGGAGATGGCTTCGCTGAATGAAATCCACATCCTTTTCCTTGTCGCCAAATCACGGCTTTGTTTCCGAGACTTTGGAGATCCAGTTCATTCCAGTCAGCCAGGAAGTTGGCTTCATCTCGACATCTCTCGCATCAATTCTTCCTTCTACCTGATGAGTTAAAAAGCACGAACAAATGAACCAGGGTATATGACTATAAACCATCCCTTCATCAATCCACATAAGCGCCTTACAATTATCCATGCTCTCAAGCAAAATTCAGTCGATATCATCAATGCCCCGAGGCTCCTCAGACGGCAATCTGACTCCGATCCTACTCGCGAATCGTGCCCCACTGCCTATTCATTCCACCGCTGCGGTGAAGCCCACCAGCACCGGATCTTTGAGCTCCGCCTAGGCTTTGGCTATATCCGTGTCCACCTCTTCCAGCCTGTAAGCTCTGCCTCACAATGGCTTCCGCAGCAGCCGCGGCAGCCAGTCTTTCCTTCTGCCTGCTGCGATCTTTGAGGTATCGTTCTGCTTCAGGTCTCATTCGGAGAATTCGCAAAATCATGTCGTCGTTTGGATCGGCTTGTGCTCCCTTCCTCTTCTCTTCTTTGGCTTGTCGAATTGTGCCCAAGTTGCGACGTTGGAGAATGCTCTTGCTTCGTCTTGTACTGCCAAGGTTTGGCGAGTGGAAGCCGGCAGGTGCGGAGAGGCGGTTGAGTTGTTGTGCTTCTTGCTGTTGACGGATTGCAGTGGCTGAGGCCATGGCTTCTGAGGTGCGAATGAGGTTATCAGTCGACTCGAAGTAGAAGAATGCAAGGTTCTGCAGGTCATGGTATTTTGGTGATTTGAGGACGTCAGCAGGTACTCCATCGGCGACTCGACGCTCGTGGTCGAAGGCGTTGAAGAATTCATATAGAATCTGAAACCGAAGTCAGCATATCATCGGCAGCTCCAAACAGTGAGATGGCTGCTCACCTGCAACCACTTGTAGACCACGTCCACCTCAGCTTGGGTCAGTGGTCTCTGCGTAGAAGGCTTGTCGCTCAATGGCGGCACCAGGAGACCCTCAATCGTGACCAACACTTCCTTCCACAGCCTGGTCATGACCATAATCATTGCGCTGTCTGTGAGCGTCTGCTTCATGATCGCAAAGTTATCATCGAAGTATTGAAGCAGTGGCTTGAGCGCATTGGAGGCCGACTCCTGTATGCTTGCTGTCACTGCTGGTGGTGTAGCCACGTTCATCGGACGTCCTGTATAATTACTGGATACCTTGCTGAAGTAGCCTCCGATCTTGCTCATGCCCATGCTGGTGATCGTGGAAGCGGTGGAAGTAGAAGTGAGAGCACGCAGCGTGCGTCGAGACAGACATTGCTGAATGTAAGCGTTCAGCTTGTCAGTGATCTTGCGTGTCATGTCGCGCTCTGCTCGTTTAAGCGTTCTGAATGCTTTGCCAAAGTAGAATTGAATATCATCGCGCTCGCCTTCCATGGTTACTCGTACCAAAACGCGGCCTTGTGTGTCGAGATCAAGCCAGTACTCGCGAGGAAGGTAATCGTTGAAGTGGTTTGGATCCAGCTTCAAGCTCGTTCGCCCTAGACAATCATGGTCGCCGAGCGCATCCCAGTCCCAGACTGTGGCAATGATGTTCAGTGGACCTGTAGTCAGAATGTCGACAGTCTCATCCCATCGAGGATTTAATGACTGGTAGACAGTTCTAGTCTTTGCTAATCGTTTCTGATACTCATCACCCAGCACGACATATGGATCACTCAAGCCGTTCATGTCACCGGCTTTCAGATCCTCGGCTTCGATAATCTTGATGGTGAACATGCACTTGTTCTCGCCTCGCTTCCTGGCATTCGGAGGTGGTGGCGGTTCGTATCTGTTGATCGCTTTCACACAGTCTTCCGTATTCATCTCACGCTCAACACGATCAAGCTGAAGTGTCGCATACTCGATATCGTTGATTTTGACGAAGCTCTCGGGATAGAAGTTGAAGGGCTCAATTTTTTGCGTCAGACTGCCTGTTGCCCATACATCACGAGCGGCGGAAATCCACTTCTCTTTTTGGGTCTGCTGCGCTCGTGCTTCTTGTTCTGGTGTCTGTCGATCCATTTCGCGGGCAAACTTGGTCTCGAGAAGTTCGCAGTACCTGGCCACTCCCTTTCCAATGGATTTGCTGATGGCCGTCATAAACTTCGCGTAGTGCAAGTCGTTATCCCACTTGAGCTTGATGACTTGATCTATGCTCTGGTTGAAGATGTGATAAACGTCGATAACGCTTTGAGAGTGTCGTTCGTCGTTGCTTGGCGGATCACCGCGCTCTTTTGACGCAGCATCCTGCCGCACCTGGAACTCGTCGTGAGCCACAGCACCTTCGATCCAGTCCAGAAGTTTGCTGTCTGTCATACTGATCCATCGCCACACGAATTCCTGTAGTAGGTCTTCGATCTTGAATTCGAACTCTCGCCCAGGCAATGCTTGTGTATATACCCCACGAATGGCGACTAGCTCTCCATACAGCTCGAAGCCATCCTGCACGGGCACTTCTTCGCCTTTCTTCCTGGTCAATTCAAGTATTCGTGCAACAAGTTCCTTGGCATCACTTGAGAATGATGGCAAGATCTCTTCCATCAAGACTTGAAGCGGCCTCACACCCAGCACTTCAGGAGCGTCTATGAAGCGCTTCGAGATCTTGTCGCACATCCCCGTCACGGCTCGGCCCAGCTTGATGACATTGTAGAATTCCCAGTCTTGAGAATTGTCAGGCACATTGGTTGCGAGCATGTCGTGATATTTTTCCCTCGCCTTGGTCTTCAGCTGATCAGTCATCATTTGTGCAAACGCCGTCATGTCCTCTCGATTCTTATTGAACCACGGATCTGGCCAGATGTGGTCCTCAAGAACACCCATGACAGTCGCTACGCTCATTGGCTTCTTCTCGTAGACATGCTGGAATAGCTCGTAGAATTGTCGGAGGCAGGAATCGTGCAAAGCTGCAAGAAGATTTCGCATGGTGGCTTCGTCAGCTAGAGTCCACTTACTCCGCTCAAACAGCGAGGCCTGCACGGGTTGAGCTTTGCCTTTCTTCGGCTCCGGAGGTGGCTCTTTGACATGCGCAAATGCTGCATCGACTGTCTCGAGTGAAATTTCCTGATTCTGGTACTTCTCGCGCACTACATCCAGGAAGAGGACTAGTCTTGATGATGGAGGCACCCGCCACCGGAGGGCAATCTCGTTCAGCAACTCCGTCGTCTGCGGCGCGAGGAAGGCTGTCGCTTGCACCTCTTCATCGGCAAGGTCGTTGGTCAAAGCAATCTTCAGCACTTGTCGGTAGTAGGAACGCGCATCGGGTGGGATGAAAGTGAACTTGGCGTGACTTGCGTCTATCGAGCCTGTGCCTGAATCTCTGGGTGACGAGTCGCCAAGGTTCAGACTGCTCAGATCTACAGGATGATCCAGAACGTAGCTGGAGTCGAATTCGCCGCTCGGTCTTGCCAAGGATTTTGCCAGCTCACCATACGCAGACTCGTCAGGTATTGATGGAAGTGGTTTCAGCAGGGGCACGCTTCCACTCGAGCTTTTGAGTAGAGTAGGATCTGATAGGAGCAAAGCCTGCATCATCTGGCTGAGATCGCTGGATTCGCCTTTCCTCCACAATTCGTATGCTTCGTCTACATCAAAGTCGGCCTTGGTGAGGGTGGTCGGGGTGTTCAGTGATAGGTGTGCCTGGTACTCCTTCAGATCTCTGAGTGCCGCCCGCTCTGTCCACTCGTCCTTGTGCGCATTAATGTCGTTCTGTGCCTGTACTGTCGGCTTTGCGAATATCCTGCACACTCTGATCACCAGTGGCATATCCTTCACATCATAAGTCCGCGGCACTTCCACCTCTATGCTGGTGCCTCCCTGACCGCCACTCCTTTGACTCGCATCTGCCAAGTCCTGGTCGTGCTGTAGAAGTTTCGTTTCCAGCGTCTTCAGCCTGCTCGTCAACTCGGGCCTATCTCTCGTCCAGTCGTTCTTTGCCAAAGTATTGCTGATAAGCCTCACGAATAATGCAACGTGTCTATCAACCATGATCTTCCAGGAATCGTCATCTTGTGCCTTGCCAAGTTGTAATGTTGCCGTCGCTTTGGAGTAGAAGATCAATAGCAGATCCTCCACTTTTCGATCTTTCTCCATACTCTTTCTGAAGGTCGGGTTCTTGAACTCATTCAGGAATGCGCCAAATGTGCGCTTGATGTCGCTGTTGTGGTACTCAGGCATCTTCTCGGTTCCCGTCAACACTCCTGTGATGCGCTTGTCCAGCGCAGCCATGAATCCATGCGGAAATTTGGTGCTCTTGTTGTCTCGAATCAGACTAAAGTCCTTGACCATATCGTTGATCGATGTGCCGCTTCGCTGGATCGGTTTGGAGGTGTTGGCGACATGCTGGACTCGCTTCTGCCGCGGTTGCAGCAGGTAGACCAGATACGCTGTGCGGAGGGCGTAGATGTATGCATCTTGATCGGACACGACGACTGCTCGTTTGGCGTAGCTCATGTTGCGGCGCAGCGTGTCACGGGCGGAGTGCGAGTTGGTCCTCCGACTGTTGACGGACGAATGCGCTGACGACCGTTCCATCATGTTAGCCTGCTTGCTCCTGCACTCATACAGTCCATGTGTATGTACAGCAAGGATGTCATGGATCTCACGCTTCCCATGTGAAACAAGCATCCGCCGTCACAAAAGAGCTTGGGCATCCACGACACCTCCCGCGTCCCTTCCTGTTCAGTGTTCACACTGACTGCAACTTCCCTGCCAAACTGTGTCGGCTAGCGGGGGCAGGTGCAGCTCGGAACGCGCCTTCCCCCGACTTGCACAATGACCTCAGATCACGAGGCCACAAGGCCACCCTGTCTGAGAATAGATTTCCTTCTGCAGGCCTGGTCAGTCAAAGCACCACAAAAGGTCTCAAAGACAGAGACACTGTGTTGTCGCAGGGGATTGAGTGAACGCCTGAAACCCAGCGCTAGTGCTCCCACACTTGTCACTCGCGACGTCACGAAAATGCCAGGAATAGCAAGGTGCCACTGCTCGACCCCTGACCGAAACTTACGCACGGATCCTCGCTCTCGTGCATGTGACTGTCACATGAACCTTCCAACACTGACACTGAGCTTCTTCACTTTCGCACGCTGCGAGTATTGTCCGTAACCGTTACAATAGGCGGAGTACGGCCCATCTCACTTCGATACTGAAGCTGAATTACCTTCACTTCGAGGCTACAATTGCATATACTTGTGGCTGATGTGAGCTTTGACATGAGCTTTGCTTCGACAATCCGACAGAAGCTTCTCTTCAATCCACCTTGAGCTGTCAATCCTCAACGCACTTCGGCAAATCCAGGTTGGCAATTCAAACCTCCATCGACAACCAACAGACTTCGATTTTACAGATCTGCCACACGCCTTGCCAAACTGCCATTCCGCCTCTAATATGTCAGAAGCCCTCGCGCCGACTGCTGGATGACCATCGCTGACTTCGATTGTACAGATCTACCACACGCCTTGCCAAACTGCCATTCCGCCTCTCTTATGTCAGAAGCCCTCGCGCCGTCTGCTGGATGACCATTGCTGACTTTGATTGTACAGATCTACCACGCGCCTCGCTTGCGCAATTGAGAGACCTGACACGAAGATCGAGACTTTCCTCCGATCTCTACACGAACCATCTACCTCTCATCTCTCGCCATTTATCCATCCAACACAGCTCCCGACAACACGATGAACCCCAACTACATGCCTGTCTCCCAGTCTCCCCTCACCCCAGCCAAGGCTCGTCTCTCCGACCAGCAAAAGAAGGACAACCATATCACTTCTGAGAAAAAGCGCCGTGAAGCTATCCGCGCAGGCTTTGACAAGCTCAGTACACTCGTTCCGGGCATGGAGGGTCAGGCGCGGTCCGAGGCTATAGTGCTGGGAGCTACAGTCCAATTCATGCAGGACGAGATCGCGCGCAGGCATACCGTCACTCAGCTCGCTATCAACGCGGGCTGGTCTAGACAGCAGGTCGAGGAGGTCTTCAACAGAATCGAGAACGCTCTTCGCGCTCAGGAGCAGAATGCAGAGGCGGCGGCGGCCGGGTTGGCTCAGACGCAATACAATGGGCAAGGCCAATTCCAGAACGTCTATCAAGTGCCACAACCTGTCCAACCTCAGGTCACGCCATCCACTATGCCTCAACAACAGCCACCGCAGTCAGCACCAGAACAGGATGCCAGTCGCCCCAAGAGCAAGTCGCCAGTTCGCACTCCTGAGCAGAAGGATGCGGAGTGAAGCAGACTGCAACACGGCTAGCTTTGCCCGCAAGATATCATTCCAGCCGCACAGACTGCACCAAATACGATCAAACCTTACAACGCAGCTTCTCGCGATTGGGCCACCCCGATCAATCACCAACACGTATCCGAATCTCGACCCTTCCCTCGATTCTAGTCCGCAGAATCTCAGCATCTCTGAAGAAATTAGCAATTGTGGTCCTACTGCCCCGGATCTCACGGCAATCGACATGGGACCGCCTACCGGAAGCGACTGCATGCCACCATGCCTCAGCACGATGCATACAAACGCGCGCATGCACACACTCTGGATAGGCCAGAGTTCAGCGCAGTTCTGCATTGCTTAGGCCACCGGACTCATCGACTCTCTTCGAGCATTGTAACAAAGAAATGCAACAAATGTTCATTGTTGTCATGAGGGCTCATCAAGCGAAGTCGAATCGGCATCTGGGAAATTCTTCTTGTTTCCCGATTCGGTCATCTAGACAAAGACAGTTAACACGCAATCCAGATTCACCCGATCCAAAGTGCTTTACTGTCATGCTGTGCCTCAAGTAGATTGTATTGCGATTGCTTGGAAGTCGACGGGCATCATCCATGCTTCTACTACTGACAATTTAGAAATGTTCCCCTCGCATCACATCATGGGAAGCTCCTGGTTGCGCTCGAATCCTCAGAATCTATCAGGAAAAGCCCCCGAAGAGAAATGGACTGCACCAGAACTCGTACCACCTGTCAGGGCCTCACCAAGACTTCATGATACTCCACGTCGAAATCGAAACGCGCGCCACTACCTCCGACCCAGCTGGAAAAGGAACCCGAAACCAGTGTACAAGAAAATCCTTTCAAACCCAGACACCGTAAGGGCCGATCTGGAACTGCCCAAACACACCGAACTCCGCCACATCCCCGAAAACATCGAACGCGAACACAAGCAAGCATTTTACTACAACCAGATCTGGAACGCACGAGATCAACAATGGACCGTGCAACACGAAAGCATCCAAAAAGACGTACACGAAGGCCAAGTGCGCCGTACCACAATCCCCGCAAGGAAACATGAACTAGACCCTGAACGGAGAGAGCAGTATGAGAATGTCATCCAAGACCGGCGCTACGATGAAGATTCTGTAGAGAGGAGTGGATGGCAGGGACATGGGTGGTTGACACGTGCGAGGGCGGAGTTGGAATTCCCGAAAGAGTTTGATAGGCTTTGGGAAGAATGGAATCTTCGTGGGCGGAGGACTTCGGAGCAAGAACGGGAGTTGATGGAACGGGAGAGGGAAATCGAGAGGGAAGAGCAAGAGGACAGGATTTTGGGGTATGTGAAGAGGAACATGAAGAACCGGGAGAGGAATAAGCTGAAAGTTCTGGATCGTGTGACGAAGAAAATCGTGCCAAGACTCCGAGGAGGTGCGACGTCGTGGGAAGAAGTCGAACAGGATCGTTTCTGGTATCAAGATCCGATGCGAGAAGGTTTCTGGCCTGAAGCATTGAGATACATCGATGCTGTCCCTCTCGAGCTCAAGAGCTTTCCAGGTGAATTCGTTGAGTTGCCTGGAGAGTGGGAGAATCCTCTGGAGCGGAGCTGGAGTTATGTTTTCAGGGACGAGTATCAACGATTGCTTGAGGAAGAAGAGGAGCGGCCGAATGTTGCAGTGATTGCGCCGGAGCAGTCAGCTTTTGCGGACGTTGGTGCGGCTGAGGTGCTAAGACAGCAATTCGATCAGACGCATGGCAGGAAGAAAGGTAATGAGGCAAGTGTTGAAGATGTTGAGGAAGAGGAAGAGGAAGAGGAGGAGTTGTAGGTAGCTCAAGCGCTCGTGCGAGCGAAGCTTTCGTGTCCCCCACAGCAGGCTTCATCCATCTTTTACTTATCTTTTACTTATCTTTTACTTATCTTTTACTTATCTTTTACTTGTCTTTTACTTGTCTTTTACTTGTCTTTTACTTATCTTTTACTTATACTTAATTAATCTTTAATTTACCTTTTACTTATCTTATTAGATTCTCTCTACTACTAGACTATTAGTACTAGTTTATTCCTAAGATACGTCTAAATCTATAAAGCCTTTAGCTAGAATTCTACTAGCAATTTTACATCGCTAAGTATTACCTGCTAGGAATAGATTAACGTCACCCGCGCTAACCCTAGCGTAGTCTGCAAAATTGCTGTCCGGGTTAAGTCGCTCCCCTATCTTTGTAGAGCCGTAGGCCCGTAGCGGCAGCGAGTAACTACGACGCATTCTGGCGAAAACCCCACTCCTCTGGCTTCTTCGTCGCCGAACTGTGCCATCGCAGGCATCGATGGACCGACGCTGAAAAGGCCGAGTACATAACGGTTATGCATGTGTCGCGTGCGAGAAAGAAGATCGCGTGTGTACCTTGCCATGAGCGCAAGGTGCGGTGCGATGCGTCGGACGTTGGCATGCCGTGCACTCGCTGCAGCGAACGCCAGCGCAGCGCACACTGCACACCCACATCGCGCAAGCCTCGAAGGTGAGCCTCACCATTGCTCGACTATTTCCGTACGCTCTCCGCTGGTAGACTGCAACTGATGTGCAACTCTGCTGACCAGAGGGACCAGACGAAACGCGCACGCATGCAACAACGCCCGCCGCCCATCGGCCGAGCGCGAGCCTGACCATGCATACCAGCCATGTGCTCCCATCTCTCCTGTCGACACGGATGCTTGGCAGCGCGCGCCCGACGACGAGCACGTGCAGACGCTGCGTGGCATGGCCGGGCAGCCCACTCCGACCGAGCTGATCAGACAGGACAATGACAGGCATGGCGTCGTCAATGGCTCGCCTCACGTGATTGAATACTTCGACCGCTTCAACGCGACAGCCCTTCTGACAGAGGCGCTGGGCGTTCGCAAGCGCAAACGTCTGATCCGGATCGAGCTGGCTGCTGCGGGAGAGCCTGATCAGCCCTATCCGTACTTCGAGTCGCCCCATCTGCCTGCTCACGACATGCAATACCTGCGCTCCAAGCATGTCTTCGATTTGCCGCCTCCAGAAGTCTGGTTCGTGCACTCAACTGCTCCTGTCGACACGCGTCGGACGACGTGCACGCTGACCTTCCACGTTGAACAGCCACCCTCTTCTGCGCGCCTTCTTTGACTACGTCTGGCCATACACCCCCGTCTTCGATCGCACCCGATTCTGCAGAGAATTCCGCGCCGGCACTGTCTCGTATTTTCTCCTGTACGCTGTGCTTGCCAACGCCGTGCCGTATGTAGACTTTGACGTCTTGGAATCGCACGGCTACCGAAGTCGAGACTCGGCACAGAGAGAGTATGCCGACCGCGCCAAGCTGTTGCACGACTTTGGACTCGAGAGACGCCAGCTGCAATCCCTCCAAGCTTCTATCATCTTGAGCTCCTTCCACACTTCCTTTGCGCCAAACGCTGACTATCGTTCGTGGTTCCAAAATGCTGTTCGGATAGCCACACAAATCGGCCTCCACCGGCAGTAAGTGTGCCAATACGGAATGCCATTGCAAGCAATATCTGCACGCTGTGCTGACAAGCTGTCTTGCCACGTAGAAATCTGGGCGAAGACCTCGAATTTTCTACGCACCAGCTCTGCCGCCGCATCTGGTGGGTTCTGGTCGTACGTCTCGTGGTGGGAGAAATCTTCAGGTTCAGAACACTCCACTGACTCCCGCTAGCAACGCGACGTGCTCTTCTCCGTCTCCGGCTTGCTAAATGCCAGGTGCATCGATGATTCGGAGTCTGATGTCGCGCCTCTGACAAATCTGGACTGGCCAGAGGACAGCTCGGATTATATGGATACCGAACTTATGTCGCCGCTGCCCATCACGGCCAAGCAGTTCTTGATCCACAATGGAGAGCTGGCTCAGTTGGGTATACGAACCGATTGAGATCTTGCTAATCTCTTCTGATGCATTGATCAGGCGCTCGAGTTGTTCGTTTCACGCGAAGTCGCAATCACCCAATCTCTGTAGACACTGCGCGCGAATTCGACGCGGCATTAATCGCATTTCGGCAAGGACTGCCGCCTGAATTCCATGTTAGCAGCATCGCCACTTCATCAACGCAGAATCTCTGGGTCGTCTTACTGGGCGCATTAAGCCAGAGGCTCGAGTGTGTCTTCTTTCGAATCGCCCTCGAGCATTTCCAGTCGATAGGCGACCAAGACAATGCACGCTGGTGCAAGCAGAGACTCTTCAGCTGCATTTTCGAATTGGACGCTGTCATTAAGCGCGCAGTCGTCTACGATCTCGTAAAGTTTGCGCCATCCTCCCTGTAAGTCCTCGTTTTCCGGGCTCGTCATCATTGAGGGTGAGCTATTTGCTGACGCGCTCCAAAAAAAAGTATTGTATGTGCCTGTAATCTCCTGGCTTATCAGATCGAGATTGGCTTGGACCACACGAGATCTTTGAGCCAGCGGCATACCGCAAAAGCGCACATCTACGCTATGTTAGGCTTCTTTCGGGACCTTAGCTCACAATGGAGACTCGCACGATGGACTCTACGCGTGTCTGAATGGGTCGTTCAGCGTGCAGGCTTAGCGCTCATGGAAACACCATCGCGAGCATCTACTGGCAGTGCTGTGCCTCCGAACGTTCTTGGTGGTGACAGTCGTGGATCAGCTGATGCGGGAGCGTTGGGCAACAGCAGCCGCGAGCGGCAATTCACTGCTGAGATCGACACATTCTCCGGAGCTCAGTTCCTTTCCACACTCTCCGGCGATGATGTACCTGATCTGTGGATCCAGGACTTTCTAGGGGAGAACCTCTTCAGTCAACTTGAAGACAGTTTCTGCGCTGATCCGTTCGGCGCCGGTGCTTCGGCATAAGGTTTCTCTACTCCCGAGCTTATCATGTCGCCGAATCGAACGAGTGTGGTCTCCCAATGAGCATTCCGGAGCGCAAATGTACGCTCGAGGGTCGATCAGAGCAGAATACATTGATCATAGTTACTATAAACTTATGAGCGAATAGTAGCGCCAAGCACGAAGCGCTCGCAGCCTGCTCAAGACCAAAGGCAGCGGATGGGATATCTCACCATATCGCTAATACATAGGCGGTGCTAGCCTTTCAGGCGCTGGCTGTCTATCCTGTCCATCCAACAGCCCATAGTACCATGTCAAATCTCTGCCGTCGTATTCTCTGACGTCAAACCCATCTCCCAAATAATTGAAAGCATTGCCCGAAAGATATTCGATCTCGTAATCTTCGAAGCGAACTTTCTGTAGCATGGTCATGTAATGTATTCGCGAGCCCGGCCAGAGAGGAGGTTTGCGGTTCATGTCTCCATTCTTAAACCAGCTGCTACAAGGCCCTGACCAGGCTGTCGCTTTGATGTATAGGTCAGCATGCTTGCAGAATTGCTCCGCTGCGCTGCGCTTGACCTGAATCTTCTTGATATCCTCGATTTGCGCCTTTTCGATGATTTGAAAGATGTAACGCGTGTAGGCCTCGATCATGGGGAAGATGGAGCCGTGGCCCAGCGGTCCGTAAGGGCCGCAGAAGATCAAGTAGTTGGGAACTTCAGGCGCATTGAGTCCGAGATATGCAATGTTGTCGGGATTGCTGTAGTCATCTTGTAGATTTCTGCCGTTGCACAGCATGGGGAATTGTGGGCGAAAAGACGTGTCGAATCCGGTTGCGCAGATGATGATGTCGCACTCGTAGTGTTGGCCGTCGTCACCGCTGATGAATCCGGTCGGCGTGATCTCAACCAGCTCCTTTTTCAAAGTGGTGGTCTTCGGTTGCGCCAACGCCTCCAGGAAGCCATTGCCAGGCGTGGGTCTTCGACAGCCAACGCCAAAATCGGTGGGCAGGAGATGTTCTACGAGATCCGGTCGTGAGGCCAGTTTTTGCTTCATCTGTTTGCTTGAATACTCCCGAGCATTCCAGGCGTCACGGGAGCCGTTGACCACGAGCTTGAAACGTTGGTTCAATTCGGATTCGACTGCTTTGCAGTAACGCAGGTACAATTCGGGATCGTCGCGAAACTTCTTCTTCGTTTCCTCCGAGTACTCAAAGTTCTCGCCGTTGGGGCCGGCGAACCGTGGTCCAAAGCCTGCTGTGATCCACGTCTTTGATCTCGCAACGAGGTAAAGGCGATCGACCTGTTTGATAATCGAAGGCACCACTTGCACACCCGAGCTTCCAATCCCCAACACCAGAACCTTCTTGCCTCGCAGGTCTACGCTCTCGTCCCATTTTGCCGTGTGCATTTTGGGGCCCTGGAAAACGTCCAACCCTTTGACTTGCGGCCACTTCCACGTGTTCAACCAGCCACCGCCGTTCAAAAGGAAATGGGCATAGTCGAAAAAGGTGTCTTCTGGATTGTCGTTCCGCATCACCTTGACCTTCCATTCTCCGCGATCATCGAGCCACTCGGCCCCGACTATGCGATGGTTGAACTTGACATGATCGTAGACGTGATTGTCGCGGGCAACAGATTGCAAGTACTCGAGGATTTCTTTTGCACCCGAGTAGTACCTCGACCAGTTCGGATTGCGAGCCCAGGTAAATTGATAACTCACACTCGGGATATCGCAGGCGCAGCCCTTTGAAGCCTCGGTTCAGCAAAAACAAAAAAAAAAAGATTCTTGTCCTACTTTCCTTGGAGTTGCAGACTTACCGGATATCGGTTCTCGAACCACGTTCCTCCCACGTCCGGATTCTTCTCGTAAATGACCAAGTCGATATTGCTCATGTGCTTGTACATCTGGGCCGTAAAGTTGATGCCGCTGCAGCCGGCGCCGATGAAAATGACTTTGACGCGACGCTTGGTGCCCATGGGACTCGGGCGAATGGTATAACCATCTTTCGTGCTCAGACCGGCCTGATGAATCGCTGACTCTGCTGTCGGCAGGGAAAAGAATGGTTCGTCACTGCCAGAACGAGGCACTTCCTCGCCGACGCTGCCCATGTTGGACGGTGATGCTACGTATCTGTCTGGTGCCGGACAGGTTATGCGGTGTCCTAGAATAATAATCACTCAAACACCTCGAAAGCGTCTTGTATATGTAGCTCGTCTTGGACATGTCGGTAGTTGGGCCGATTTTCGGCATATGCGCACTTCAGGCCCATTAATTCGTTGTGAATGGTGCCGAGCAGCGGGCTTGCTCGGTATGGGTCTCTTTTGACCGAAGGCTTGTATACTGTGTGTAGCTCGTCTTGGAAATGTCGGTGTTTGAGCCTACTTTTGGGCCCATCCGTTGTGACCGGCGCCGAGCACCCTGACCTGCTCGGTATTCCATGGGTCTCTTTTCGCCGAAGGCCGAAAACTTATTGCCAGCGCCGCGTGGCCAATGGGGATTGTTTATGTGTCTACCTTAAGTGTTCAAAGATGTGTTGGTGTTTGCACCCCTAGGTCGCGGCTACCTCCATTCAGGCTTGTGGGCATGAAGAATCAAACTGCGACGGGTGCACGTGAATAGATTAGTAATTAGTTAGGGCTAGCTTCCGAACTTTCCGACCAGCCAATCACAAACACACCCAATAATTCTTCGCCTATAAGCCTGAGAACAAGCCGTGCTAAACTAGCCTGCGACGTACTACTTTTTCGCGACTACGCAAATACAATAATCTAAATAGTAGAGATTGTAGCCCTACTAATTGCGCTTTATTCTACCTACTAGACAAGTCTATACGACGTTAGCGCGTTAAGGTTTCGCTATTCTGCTAAGCCGACTCGACTATAGCTATCCGGATTGCTAGGCGGCTAGCTATACTACTAGAAACACCTTAATATAAAACATACCGCATCGCCTAGCTAATACTTAGAGGTCCTTCTCCTAATCCTAGCTATTATTATTTAGGTAGGCGAAAATTCCGTCCGACGTCTACTAACCGCTATATAGCCCTTAAGAGTAAACGAGAACCTTCCTATAGCCGACTCGATACTTCGAGATCCTTCTCTAGCTATTTCTAAACAACTTTTGTAAAGCGATTAAAGGCGCCCGAGTAGTACTTATTATATTATCGCTAGATAGTAGACGCTATTCTAAAGCTAAGGCTAAAATACCTAAAAGTCGCTACTAATACCGCTAATACCGCTATAGAAGAAGCTATAGAGCCGTTAAGCGAAATTAGTAACGTACTAGAATATCTATTTAATACCGCAGGTTAACTAGTCGTCGATATATAAGGCAACTATATACGTATCGACGATATAATAGATATAGATATAGACAAAGATAATAATCCGCTTCTAGGCTAGCCTAGCTATCCGACTTAAGGCCCTACGGGTATACTAACATAGCGTCTGCCTATCCTAATAACTAGTAGCAATCTATTTAGTAATCTCGACGATATAGAGATACTAGCTAGAATAGAGTATATCGGCTAACTATCTCGAGCTACTACTACTACTAAAGAAGAAGAAAAAGAAGAGGAGTCTAAGGATAAAGACTAAGGCGAAGAAGATACTAAGCTAAGTAACGATAAAGAGGTTAATACTTGTAATTTAGATAACGACGATAACGACGACGACGATAAGAAGGCCGCTAAGGAGGCCGCTAAGACCGAGCGTAGGGCTACTAACGAAGATACTATTAAGCGACGACTCGATAAACACTATAAGGAGCTAAAGGGCCTTATACGGCAGTATAAGATTAGCACCCTATACCTAGTTAAGTATTTAGTTAGTAAGCTAGGTAAGAAGAACTCTAGATCTTGTAAGACGACTAAGCGCTCTACGTAGTACGAGCTTAATCTATAGTCCCTCCTAGTAGCCTTTCTAGAGGAGCGCCTATTTAGTAGCCGTATTATCCGTAAGGAGCTAAAGGGCCTAGTCGGAAAGCCGTTATTTAGTATATATAAGCTAGAATATAGTAAGATAGAGATCGACCTTACTAGTATAAACAAGACTATTAAGCAAGCTGTACCGACTTAGTATAAGCTCTATATAGAAGAGCTACTACCTAACCTTCGCCGCGATACCGAGCAATACTAAGAAGAATTCCTAGATAAGCGTAATATAGCTAAGAAGCGTACTATTACGTTAATAGCTTAGGTGTTGTACTCGATTTTACATGTTAATACATCCTTCTTCCTAAAGGCTCTTAGTATATATCGGTCTCGTATAATATTGTCGGTTACTAACTATTGTCTTAGGAATCTTCCTTGTCTCTAATAGCGCGAGTCGTCGTACGATTAAGTGCTTAAACAATCTAAACATAGTGTCAGGGCCAAAGAGGTTACACGTAATTAGCATGTAACTAGGCCGAGTGAAGCTAGGGTCTTAATGCCTTAGGCAGGGCTTAGCGCTTGGCGTTAGGCTAACTCTCCTGCCTTCCTCCCTCTCCTCCTAGCTCCTTATCGAATACTACTTGTACCTACTACTACCCTATCTACCTGCTAACATACCCTTCTTATATAGTATTCGATCTACCCTTTAAGGGTAGCAGCTAGATAGTCTCTATTTCAAGCTTTTAGCGGTATAGCTACAAATAAGACTAATCTAACTATATTGCGCCTAAAGAACGGGACCTATACGTACTATTCCATCGAAACAACCGTACTAATTATTAAGCAAGGCCTTCTATACGGCCTATTACACCGAGTCAATCGCACTAAGCCGATATCTACTAATTCCGCTATATCCGCATCTTAGGGGCCTATAATACATTATTAGTGTTACCCCTTACAATAGCCGGCTTATTACGAAGCAACAATAACCGTACTACCGCTAGCAGCGCTAGCAATAACAACGCTAGTAGTATAGTTCCCGCTAAAGTACCTACTAAAGTGCCTCCTACTAAAGAGCCTACTAGAGAGCCTATTAAAGAAGAACCTATAATTCCAGGTAATAATCTAGAATTGCCTGTTAACGATATTCTTAACAACATTGTCAACCGACGATATAGCTAGCTAGCCTTTAGCCCCTAACTAGTAGGGAGACTCTAAGAAGCTACCTAAAACAGGCTTACTGCCCTACGTTAAGAACAATAGCTAAAGGATAACCTCCTCGAAATTCGCCGCCTTTAGGAGGCCCTAACAACTAATACTAAGCCGATAGTAGGCCCTTCCTTACTATTAGTCCTAATCTAGAAGAAGGATGCTAAACTCAAGGACTGCACCGTATTTAACGGCTCTAGTCGAAAGCAATACAACGACTATATCCGTAACTGTAAGCTTAACTAACGAAACGCACTAAGGGCTCTACCAAATAACTATTCACTAGTCGTCTATGCTATATAGTACATTAACGGCGACCTAAAACGCACCTAGGATAACTATTTTGACTCCCTTAATAACTAGACTGCTATTTAGTAGCAGACCTACAAAACTATTATGCTAGACACCCTTAGAAACCCTATACTAAGGCAATAACACGCTTAGGACTAGTACCTTCGAGCTAAGCAAAAGACTAATCAATCGGCTCGCTTATTTAAGGCCTATTTAAAGACCCTCGAAGACGACCTCCCGACTAAAACTAATTCTATCTAGATCTCCGAAATACGCCCTAAATTGAGATAGGAATTAGTCCTTGAGTTAGACCGCCGCCGTGTGTTTAAACAGGCCAATCTTATACGTATTTAGTTTATAGTTGAAGTCGAAACTGCCGAACGAGCTGTCTAGCTCTAGCAACGACTAGAATCAAGGATCCGACCTACTAGCAACCGTAGCAACCGTAGCCGCGGAGGAAACTAAGGTTCCTACTAAGACAACAATGCTAATAATAGGAACAGTAACGATCGTAGAAGAAGCCGTAGCCGGCGGCTATATAGAGGAGGCCGCGATAGGGGCCGTAGAAGGGGCTCGTATCCCTATAGTACTAATCGCTCGGCTAATAATAGCGGCAACAGCTATAGCAATCCCCTAACCGGACTGAAGTGCTTCAATTGTAATAGCACTAGTTATCTACTAGGCTAATGCGACAAACCTAAGGACTAGGCCCGAATCGACCGTACTACCGCCGAACACCGAAAGTACCTTTTAGTAGCTAACGCTACCCCTATAGGCTAATCTTCTTATTAGTCGAAAAAAGAGTAAGCGCCGCACTAACTGTTAGCCTTATACGGCGTAAGACTATCGACATTATACTAGCCATTATACGTACCTGTCTCGTATCGGATACGTATAGGACTAACTATAAGACTAAGGTTATACTAGATCTAGGAAATTCCGTTAGTGCCCTTATCAGCTATCGCCTAGCTAAGCAATTAGACCTTCGACAACTGCCTAGGACTGACCTGCCAACCCTTGCTTAGTTTAATAACGCTCGGCACTTAACCTATAGGGCCTACTATGTCTATATAGCTCTAAAGGACGACCTCGGCAATAAGCGCCTACTAAACTTCACTACCTACGCGGTAGACATAGACAGCCTCCTATCTAATATTGTTATTAGCAACCCTGTTCTTAAGTACTATGCTATAGTTATAGACTTAGGCAGCTAACAATAGCGATTTAGAATCGCTCGGAAAGAGGATATTAAACACATCGATATTAGCGAGTGTCCTAATAATATTAGGGTCCTGTTTATTAGTAACCTAATACTAGCCTCCGCCTTAGCTAATCTAACTGCCGACCTACTCGGTAGTAATAACGATAAACCTGTGCCCCCTAATAGCATAGACCCTAATTAGCTTGCTCGTATACTAGAGCCTATTCGAGAGACCTATATTAATATGTTTAAACACTACTTAGCATCGACATTGCCTATATTCAAAGAGATAGACTATAAGATTGACATTATAGAGGGCAAAGAGGTTCCTTTTAGTCCCCTCTATAACCTTAGTAAACGAGAGCTTGCTATACTACGTAAGTACCTAGAGGAAAACCTAGCTAATAGTCGAATTCGATACAGCAACAGCCCTGCTAGTATACCTATCCTGTTCGTACTAAAGAAGGATAGTAGCCTACGTCTGTGTGTTAATTATCGTAGGCTTAACGCTGTTACTATCAAAGACCGCTGCCCACTTCCTCTTATTAATAAGACCCTCGATCGCCTTTCTAGTGCTTACTACTATACTATATTAGATATTAAGGACGCCTATTACCGCATCCGTATCCGCAAGGGCGATGAATAGAAGACAGCCTTTCGCACTCGTTATAGGCATTTCGAGTACTTAGTTATACTATTCGGCTTAGCTAATGCCCCTGCTATATTCTAGTCCTATATCAATCGGGCCCTATTAGGCCTATTAGATTACCTCTGTATAGTTTACCTAGATAATATCCTAGTTTATATACACTCTCCTAACATTACGGAACACTAGGCTACAGTCCGTAAGGTACTCGATCGCCTAAGGGCCTATAGCTTGTATTGCAAGCCTTCTAAATGCACCTTTGCTGCTAAGGAGGTAGCCTTCCTTGGTTTTATCGTGTTAACTAAGGGTGTTAAGGCTGATCCTAACCGGATTAAGACTATTACTAAGTGGCTAACGCCTACTAGTATTAAGGAGCTTCAATTATTCCTAGGTTTTGCTAACTTCTATCGTCGCTTTATTAAGAGCTATTTACGACACGTAATGCCCCTAACTAAGCTTACTAAAA